GGCCATTACAGAGATTAGCCGGAACAAACAGACCGACAGACAGACAGACAAAAATTGAAAAAAGTGTTTTTTTGGTGTATGTACCATTCATATTCATATATGTATGTAGTAAAAAACGGTTATTTCAGTATTAGAACCAGACACTCCAATTTTATTTATATGTATATAGATGTATAAATTATCTGTTTGTTCTTTCAAATTCAAATTCAAAATATCTTTATTCGTGCAGGTCTATTACAGACTCTTATGATATGTCTAATCTACCGTCAGTTCGGAATGATATCGAGATGAGAAGAACTGACAAGAAACTCAGCTCGTATTTTTCTCAAATAATAGTGGAACATGTTTATAATAATACACAGTCATTAAAATTCAAAATTGGGAGAATAGAGTGACCACCAGCACATGCTATCGCAAAGAACAAAAAATCTAATCAGTGTTCACAACCTGAACAGACCAGTCCCCACAAGCAGCACCCGTTCACGAGTATGACGGATGAGCCAGCCATTTTTATAACTTTGTATAATTGTTTGTCTTTCTGGTGCAATAAGCAGTAAATAAATAAGAAAATTAGCTATTTTCCGTATGTACCAAGGTATATATACAAAGGCACGATACGTGTACCTCTTTCTCACAATATTATGTGAGAGGCGCTAATGCCCTAAACACCACGCTTTGCAAGCCGTATGTGTCTGACTCTCAGAAGTTCTACATTAGTCCTGTCAGACATACACGTCTGCCGTACGCGATTTGGTAGAAGGCCACAGCAATCACAGATGACCGCAAACGATACATTTGCATTATGTTTCGAAAGCTTGGCCAATCAGGAACAAAATCTGAAAATTTCTTGGCTTACTACAAACAATAAATTGAAATAAATGAACGTCAGACAGATCGATACGGCTTGTTGAGAAAAAAAATATATAGGGCACAGACATATACGTGTGACATAAATAATAGAGTCTTTCCGGGAATTTTGAAAAAAAAAAATTTATGTGATACATTAAGTTTCCTTGATACATATTTAACTAAATTATCTAATAAAGTAACCATGGTCGATGTTAAAATATTTCTGATATTATCGTGTCGTATCAAGAATTAAAGAGCATGATGGAAGATCGCGGAAAGTGGCAAGAGCTCCACCGACAAGAGCGTAGCTCTTAAATTATGAATGAATGAATGAATTATCGTGGCAATTAAGGTGTTAAAATCTCACCATTCTGTACTCTATGTCATGGCATTAAATTTACGGTGTATAGATGTATAATACTATAGTTATTGTGAAAGTAGTATAAATATATATTACGTCGGATACCTATATAATGTAGGGATCAAATAAAAGTGAGTTATATAATGCAGTTTGTCATTTATCTTTGTCCGGATTCAATTCCCACAATACTATTTGAAAAAAATACCTAAATGAATAATATAATAATAATCTCAGGATAATTCACACAGCGCCATCTAGACCCAAGTTAAGTTAGTTAAAGCTTGTGTTATGGGTACTAGATAACTGATACGAATACATATTTTTTTTTAAATACATACATATAAAACAGCCAGATCGATACAAACAATCATACTCATGAATACAAATGTTAGTGCCGTGCGAGGAATCGAACCCACGGCCATCAATCGTAAATCGGTGTGTTAGACCGCTAGACCATCGAGGTCGTCATAACCTAACCTAAGTGAATAAGTAGTGTGTGCGTGTGTTGGTCATCAAGAGAACCATTTGCTTTTATCAATAATTTGGAAAATGTCACCTCTGAAAACATATGGCAAGAATGAGAAGAATTCAGTTTTTTTTAATTTATTTTGAAACCTGTGGATCAATATATAGTGTAAAATAAAGTATCGCTGTCGCTGTCTGTCCCTATGTATGCTTAAATCTTTAAAACTTCGCAACGGTATTTGAAGGGGTTTTTTTATAGATAGAGTGATACTAGAGGAAGGTTTATATATATAATACATATACACTATTGTACACCCAGGCGAAGCCGGGGCAAGTAGCTAGTCATCAAATAAAAATCATGAAGTGCAGTTCAGTATTATTCTGCTTATAATAGGAAATCTATGAAGTGATGTATCGGAGCAGTTTCAAGATGGTTCAGAGTAGTATATCACAAGTTTTACCCATTTAGGTATTATTTCACTGAACTACTTAATGTATTTATGTTATTTTGTTTAATTCTAGTCCATCAATCAGATAATATTGTCAGAATGTTATCTGATTCAACAGAGATTAACGGCGTTAGAAACGCAGTTAATCTCTTACTTACTAGTTTCTATGTTAATTGTCGCATGCCTAATCCTTGTTAATGTAAATCAATATTTATTTAAAAGAGCAACACACAAGTTTCTTGCTCAATCTTCTTGTGATGAGTCTGCATTCCGAATGAGCGGTAGAATAAAAAAACTTGACTATTCAAAAGTGCTTATTTAAGTTTCTTTGAATAAAGATTATTTCTATTTCTTACCAAAACAGCACTCCGCGTTACTAATAATCCAATTTGTAGAGATGAGTGAGTAATATAAGCTATTTTATCGAATTAGATGTTATTTCGTTGAAGTCCATTTATCTACGTAATGCATTTATATTATTTTGTTTAATTCCGCTACAACATGTGTGACACCACAATTATTCAGTGCGGTACTTGACTACCGTCGTGACCTTCTTTATTCTTCTCTATTCTTCTATTGGTGATCAAATTCCGACCGTTAAGTAGTGAATATCATCACAAAACAAGTCAAAAAACTAGTCCTTTGGAATGACAAAGCATGTGATACACAACGGGCGTCCCGTGATGACGTGATGTATGTGATGCTGTTGAATATATGCGATTGTGGCCAATCACTGACAGGTGAACTGTTAGTCATCTCGCTGTTCCAATTAATAATAATAATAATCTCAGGACAATTCACACAGCGCCATCTAGTCCCTAGTTAAGCTAGCAAAAGCTTGTGTTATGAGATAACTGACACGAATACATAGATTATTTTTCGTAAATACATATTATACATATAAAACACCCAGACCGATACAAATAATCATACTGAATGCTGTAGATTACAAGAAACTACATGAATTTTATCACTATATTATCCAATTCTACCTATGAATAAGTTGCCATTTGGTATGAAAGGTCAATAAGATACTCTTACCAAAATAGCTCTCCGCGTTGCGAATAAACCAATTTGTTGAGATGACAATAGAATAGAATAGAATAGAATAGAAAATCATTTATTCAAATAAACTTACATTGAAGTACTTTTGAATAGTCATCACATTTTTTTTAACCTACCGCTCATTCGGAAAGCTGTCTCATAACAAGAAGAACGAGCAAGAAACTTGTGTATTGCTCTTTTAAGTGATTTTATTCTTACTTTACATTTTTTAGTTTAAGTGTGTGAATACAAACTATCAATGAGAGAGAGTAATATGAGCTATTTTATCGAAATTTGATGAAGTGTGTTCTACCAATTATACAACGGAGTGTGTTCTGAGGAATTGTTCGACGTGATGCCTACAACCACCTTTTACAATCGCACCGCTCGCCATCGACAGGGAATGAATCCCCACACGCTGGAACCTAAGTGGTCTCGGACTGTGCGGTTTCAGAGGAGCTTCCTCCCGTGTACATTTAGGTTATGGAATGAACTTCCTGCCGAGGTTTTCTCACTAGACGCATGGGGTTTTTCAAGAAGGGTATATTAAAGTTTCTTAAGGGTCGGCAACGCGCACGTGACACCCCTGGTGTTTCAGGCATACATAGGCTACGGTAACCATTTACCATCAGATGGGACGTATGCTTGATTGCCACCATCGTAGTATAAAAAAATGTTATTTCTCTGAAGTCCATTTCACTACTTCATGGATTTATATTTTGTTTAATTCCGCTACAATTCGCATGTTTGTGATAACTACTGGTAGAATACGGGTGTGGACTCAAAATTCGATCACCAATAGGGAAGGTACCGTAAGGTCGAAATTATAAATCTATATTAATAATTTCGCCAAGGGGTACGATAGACTCCAACGAAATCTTATGTGAATAACAAAACATATAAAAATGGATTATGGAGTATTTCGTTAAATTCTAATGACACTGACAAACAAACCGCAGTCGCCATCTTTTCATTTCACTAGCATTTTCTTCGGTCGTTGACGTTTCGCGAAAATATTGTTTTTGACACTTTTTTATGTTAAAAGAGTATGTGTCTTTTCTTTAAACCTGAAATTGGCCGATTGCGTGACAAATTTGGCAATTTTTTTTATTAATTTGTTTTACGGCTCTGGATACAAGTTCTTTTTAGCCCGACTTAAAATTTACAAAAAAATAAAAATTACTTGTATAAAAATAACTTTTGCACTTTTTATTTAGCAAATAAAAAGTGCAAATATTTATAAAACACAATGAACGAAGCTTTACAAATCTATGCCTTGCTTACGTTTAATATTCCATGAGAACCGATGACTACAGAAATATCTACCCACATTTCACCCGAGCGAAGCCGGGTTTTCATCTAGTTAACATTATAAATCCATTATACTACATAATATGAAGCAGAGGTTAACTTTTAGTACTATGGTCAATTTTGATATTAGGAGTCCAGGCGTAAAAATTATTTCCATTCAAAGTGGCAAATAGTATAATACCCACACAATGGTATTTTTTTTCCGTATAAACTATCAATAATAGCGCGTTATTAAGTGATCACATTAATTTAATTATAATTAATGTAAAAGTGTTTTTCTTTTTTTAGAAAAAAAATAAACGTTTATGTAGTATAAAATGCTACCGCAGTCTGTTCGCTTAGATCTTTTAAATTATGCAACGGAATTAAATTTAGACGTAGATACAGTGATTTATATGTGTAATACATGTATACCCGTGCCAAGGGGCGGGTAGCTAGTTCATAATAAATCATATTCTAATATTGATTGTCGCTTCCCTACAATAGTATAAAATAATGAAGCATAAAAAAAAAATTCTTACGTTTGCATTGTCTCCAATGTCTGGCGATTTCGGGATGTCATTTTTTCTGAAATTAAAACAAAAATATTTATTATTATTAGTGCAAAACTGTGTATGTAATAATAATATATAATTAGTACCTACTTTAAATAATGAATTACTAGATATCAAAATCCTCCCAAAACTTCATGGAGCTTTGACCATATACTATATATACTCGAAATAGTCTCTCTAATAGAAATAGAAATAATCTTTATTCAAATAAACTCGTTACAAGCACTTTTGAATAGTCATATTTTTATTCTACCACTCATTCGGAACGCAGATCACAAGAAGAATAAGCAAGAAACTCTTTAAGTAAGGAATATTAACGATTTTTTAGTATAATTAGAGTGATAAACATATTAACAAAATTTTATATAGTTAAAGTTAGTATAAAGTAAGTTAACAATTACATTCGTTGCCTCAACGGTAACAAAAACATAAATTTAAATAAACAGAGATGAACAGACCGCGTGAAGCATGATATGGTAAGAAAAGAAGTAATTAATGAGATGACTGCGAACAGGGAAGAATTGAAGATAAAAAACAGATAAAACAAAACAAATGAATTAGATAAGGAAGAAACTGATGATTGTGATGTTGATGTGTGTGATGATTGTGATGATGATGATCAAAACCTTAATTAAAAACTTGAATATAATATTTAATACAATGTCTTATTATAGTGGCTTCGAATGGCAAAAGATAGGAACACATGACAAACTGATTTCCTCTTATTAATTGTTTAACCAGTTGTTGTGTATTCAATATTTTTTCTATTTGATTATTTAATTGAAGTAGTGCTAATTGGTAGTTTTATATTCACACACTTAAATTTAAAATGTAAAGTAAGAATAAAATTATTTAAAAGAGCAACACACAAGTTCCTTGCTTGTTCTTCTTGTGATAAGATAGCTTTGCGAATGAGCGGTAGATTAAAAAAAATGTGATGACTATTCAAAAGTGGGAGTCGTGTCGTATCAAGAATTAAAGAGCGTGATGGAAGATCGCGGAAAGTGGCAAGAGCTCCACCGACAAGAGCGTAGCTCTTAAATTATGAATGAATGAATGAATTCAAAAGTGCTTCAATGTAAGTTTGTTTTAATAAATGATTTTCTATTCTATTCTGGAGGATGCCTTTGTGTCTAAAGGACACGTTGACTCAAGAGACTGGTGAGCAGAATTAAAAGTAACATAAACATATATATAACTAATATCTGTTTTATCTTTTAAACTTGTAATTAAATATTTTTGTTAGATTTTATCATTTTGTGTCAATTAATAAAGGCTTTTAATTTGAATTTGAATTTGAAATCAATGAATTAAAAAGTAAATTCAGAATTTGTGAATTAAGTAGCGTATCTCAAAATCTACATGTAAATAAAATTGGAGTGTCTGTTTGTAATATTGAAATAACCGTTTTTTACTACATGCATATGAATATAAATACGGTACATACACCAAAACAAATTTTTTTGCTATTTGGTCTGTTTGTTCTGGCTAATCTCTGAAATGGCTGGACCGATTTTGACGGGACTTTCTTTGGCAGGCAGCTGATTTAATAAGAAGTAACTTAGGTTACTTTTATTTTAGAAAAATTCTTTGTTAAATTAGAATAATGAAGTTAAATTCCACCGGACGAAGTCGCGGGAACAGCTAGTGTATTAATAAAATTAAACTATAACTGTAGTGCAAAAAAAAATATTTACGACATTTTACGTTAGTAATCTAATACTATTATGATATATCTACATAGTATATAATAAATGCCACCCCCAAGAGGATAAAATAGGGGATGAAAGTCTGTATGAAACTTTGTCAATTTTAAACCGATCGGGCTGAGACTTTACATGTATAACACTACTATGACGGTGCATGCATGCAGGTGCACCATTCCGTTATCATCCATAAAAAAAAACACTACTATGACGTAGGCATCCTCTAAGAAAGAATTTTTATAAATTCCACCCCTAAGGGGATAAAATAGGGAATGAAAGTTTGTATAAATGTTCTTAGATTTTCGACTGATTGAAATGAAATTAAAGATTGGAGCTACTATTATGAAGACGTTCGCTTAAATAGGATTTTGATAAATTCAACCCCCATGGGGATAAAATAAGGGATGATGCAGGATGTAAATGTATTAGTTTGAACCTATCAGTACCTAATTGAACGAATAAATTAAGACGAACAGAATATTTTTTAGTTCTTTAGGTTATTTTTATTTTAGAAAAATAAAGTTAAATTCCACGCGGACGAAGTCACGGGAACAGCTAGTTCAAAATAAACTTAATTAAAGCACTTTTGAATAGTCATCACATTTCAATCTACCGCTCATTCGGAAAGCTCTCATCACAAGAAGAACGAGCAGGAAACTTGAAATAGATCTTAGTTTCTGTTTACTATAGGAATTCCTATGTAACAGTCCGTTTCTAATAAAGATGATTATCCATAATAATAATATATTTCAAGTATATAATTACGTACATTATCGGTAATCATAATTATGACACCGTAATTTGTCAGCTCTCAAGAGAAACCGGCACAATGGCAATTGGCGACTAAACATTCGTATCAAATCGTCTGCTCACTCTACCGATGAAAGAAATGAATGAGGTCTGGTGTACCGCTAGCATGCATCGGTGCACTCGACTATGTTAATGCACATCTCAAGTTATCAACTATATATGTATTTTTTTATTCCATAAACTAGCGTGGAATTTACATTTATTTTTCTAACATAAAAGTAGCATAAGTTACTCCTTATTACATCGGCTACCTGCCAAAAGTCCCGTCAAAATCGGTCCAGCCATTTCAGAGATAACAACAGGAACAAACAGACCGACAAACAGACAGACAATAATTATAAAAAATGTTATTTTGGTGTATGTGCCGCTAAATGCGGTACTTATATATGCATATAGTAAAAAACGGTTATTTCAATATTACAAACAGACACTCCAATTTTATTTATATGTATAGATGATTACTAATTTAATTTATTTCTAATTTATTTATGATTACTAATTATTTTATTATCAACATTCTGTTGCACGACATTTTAATTGAACACACACCGACATAAGCACTCACATATATATATTTTTATACACATACCCAAAAATACAAACTCATGTATATACTGTATACTTAGATTTATATCCTGGCAACAAGTTTTGTAATAATTAATTATTTGTTTAGTTCAACTTTTAGCACTGTTTAGTCTTTTTGATTAACATATTGTTATACTATATTACTTGTATGTGTATATACTTATTACTATGTCAATTGTTATATGTCATATCTTTGCTAAACTGCATTGCTAAGATAATTAATTATTACCCAAAAAACAATTTTGAATCAAAGGTAATTTAAATCGGATGTTTCTTTATTAGTGGTAATCCTTACTTAATCCGCCCCAGTCTCGCACGTTTTAAACCACTAGTTATGTTGACGACTTAGGCCCTGATGCCGGACACCGATGGTTCAGGGAAAGAACCCCAAGTAGTGCCCGTGACTTGTGCATCGGGTGTAGGTTTAAAGGGCCCTTTTAGAATGCACTAACACTTATCTTACTACTTATCGGGTGTAGGTATAAAGGGCCCTTTTAGAATGCACAAGATAAGTGTTAACTTGTCTTCACTACTTGTGACCCCCATGCCTACAATATTCATAATTGCCTATCTCTTATTTGTTTTTATAATAACATAAACACTCGAACGTTTTCGCTCCAAACTCCCGCTACGTCAGTTCCATCCATCCATCAATCTACTTGTCAATGTCACAAAGATTATTAAGGCTCTGGCTTCTGCCGTTTCGTTTCAGGTTACTCTGAATGCCTTAGATAAAGAATCATGATTATTGACTTTACCATTTTTAATTAATATATTAACACACGGATATACATGTATTATACATATAAACCTTCCTCTTGAATCACTCTATCTACTGCCACAAATTCCATTTAAATCCGTTGTATCGTTTAAAAGATCTAAGCAAACAGACACCGTAAGCGACTTCATTATATACCGTGAAAAGATAATATATTTGTGGCACATCGTTTCTATGTACCACTAGCTGTACCCGCGACTTCATCCGTGTGTTACAGTGACCTTGAGGATTCTTCCATTCCTTCATCACCCCTTTCAACCTTACGCCCCTTTTTCTTTAATTAAGTTCGGCCAATAGTCTAAAAATAAGTTTAAGCTTCTGGTTTTAAAAATTACAATACTTCCATACAACCATTCATCTCCTCTTTCAACCCTTTACAACCCTTTTATCGCATTAAAGAAGCCTATCCTTTCTCACAGTCCAAATTATCTGTGTATCAAATTTCGTTTAAATTGGTTCAGTAGTTTTGGATAATTAGGATGGATTGGATAACTAGTCAATGTTTCATAACTCATATAATATAACTAACTTTGGCTGCGGCTTCGCTGGCTATAATTTATCCCTTTAGGGGTGGAATTTAGCAAAATCCTTTCTTAGGTGATGCCTACGTCATAGTAGATTTATGCATGCAAAGTCTCAGCCGAATCGCTTTAAAATTGACAAAGCTTCATTCAAACTTTCATACCCAATTTTATCCCCTTGGGTGTAGAATTAATCAAAATCCTTTCGTAGCGGATGCCTATGTCATAACATCTACCTGTATGCCAAATTTCAGCCCAATCCATCCAGTGGATTGGGCTGTGCGTTGATAGATCACTTATGTCTATGTATATGAGTTATATATATAGATACCGTGAAGTAGTACTAGTAATAATACAGTAGTATATAGTTGACATGTACCTAGCACACTGCTCCTGATTCTGTATCTTGTTCGGAGTGGAATTCTGTGGATAGTTTGCGGCCGCATTAAAACCTAATGCAGCATCACCTATCTGCTCCATCCTGGAAATCAGAAATAATATTTTTTTTAATTTTTGTCATCAACAATTAATATCCTTAATAAACCGTTTGACGAAAGTTAGTATTCATTTTATGGAAACTGCGTAAGGTTGCATAACAAACTTCCAGAGTCTGTCCTCAAAAATCAGAAAAAATATTTTAATGTCATATAAAATAAGAGTCATAGAAAATAATCTTGAAAAGTTAATAAGTAATATGTTTTGGTAGAAAAAATCTAACTTAAAATTCATAGCGCAGATTCATGGTATCTGATTGCACATAGATTGAGTGTGTAACGGTTTGTATGTTGATTATCGCATGCCTAATCCATGTTAATGTATATTTACTTAGAACAATATTTAAATGGGCAATACGTAAGTTTCTTATTCTTCTTGTGATGAGATAGCGATGCGAGTGAATGGTAGAATAAAAAAATGAGACTATTCAAAAGTGCTTATATTACGTTTATTTGAATAAAGATTATTTCTATTTTTGTCTAATAAGTTATTGCTTAGTTGTGTACTATCTCGACAATAGAATCAAAAGGTTTGAAATGGCATTACAAACTTGTTGAATATCAATAGATATTTAGGGAAAATCAAAAGTATCCAACAGACGAAGTTCAAAATAATAAAAAAAAATATTATTTCAAGTAAAATATTCAAAAGTATGTCGACAATTGATAATATCCTGTACTACTCTGTGTTATAATTGATTAGACTAACGTCGTATTTCTTCTTAATCATCTAGCTGTTGATTTATATTGTAGAGAATACTAAGTTATATAGTGAAAATAGTGACTTTTGTAACATATTAAGATATGATATATTAGATACTGTATTATAGTACTAAATACCGCATTTAGAGTGAATGCCTCAGTTGTGAGAATATTATTACTAATTTGTCTGATTTATACTACTTTATTTATAATATAATCCATTAATGTTGCAATTTATGTTTCAGTTTGAATGGAATTGAAAAAATTAAGAGTTAGAAGGTATAGCATCTCGGACAGGACACATTTCATATCTACAGAAGACAGTTACCACTTTCAGGTTTATCAACCTCGTTCTATATTCAAGTAAATCTTATATATAAAATTCTCGTGTCACAATGTTAGTTATGGTAACTACTCCTCTGAAACGGCTTGACCGATTTTTATGAAATTTTATATGCATGCAGTAGGTTTGAGAATCGGCTACTATCTATTTTTCATACCCCTAAGTGAAAAGGATTGTCCACCCCTAACATTATTTTTTTATTTATTGGGCAAAATTTTTTATTGTGTCATTAAAAAAAACATAAAACCCTATATTTTCACCCTTCTATCACGAACCCCTACTTTTTTATAGCGTTATTAATTTATACGGCAAAACGACTTATGCCGGCACAGCTAGTAGTGATATAAAATATACATACGTTTTCTGCGGCCGCAAATCTGAAGAGCAAAGATTGCGCAGATAATCGTCGCATTCGCGCTGTTTCTGCATTTGATATTCCTTCAATAGCTCCCTCCTGAAGTCGCCCTCGGCAACCGGCGTTGGAGACGCCTCGGGCTGTTGCGGTGTCCGATCACCAAGTGACGACCTCTCAGCGGACGCCGCTGTCGTCGATACAGACGTCGACACAGAGTACTCCTGTCCCTTATGCTCGGGAGTAGTCGCATTCGAAGCACCGATGCTACTCGATTCGTTCGTCTTCGTCGAAGCTGTGAACTCTCCTGCGGGCTTTGTTTGCTCTTCGATAGGCTTCAGCGTCGGATCCGTGAAATACCTCTCGTCGTTAATATTATCGAACAATCTATCGACGGACGTGTTCATCAACTTGCTACCTTTTATGCCCGTTAGATGAAATCCAGCAAAACAAGAAGAAGAAGGGCTGTAATCGATCGCAGAGAGCGCCATTATGTCTGCGTGTCTTGGATTACCATCCGGTAGCGGCCTCAGAGATCTAGTCATCGCGTCCGCAGCCGACCTGGGACGTCTGAATGGCATCGCCAGGTGAGGGAACGTACGAGGCTTTATCGGCGTGACGAGCATATGCTCCGTCCAAGAAGTGTGCAGCGAAGGTCGTTCTAATTTCTCCACGTCTACGTTCAACATCCTCTGCTCGAATGGAACACTAAATGTTTCAGCGGGAATAGACTGCAGCCAAGACAGCAAACTCAAATCAGATTCGTCGAATCCTGAACCGTCCAGAAGTCTCGAAAAATTTACTTCATTAGATTGCGTCTCAGAGCCCGTAGCTTTAGCTTGACAATAATTAACGCACGATTCATATAATATACCCTTAATAAGTAATTGCATCAGACGATCATTCTTTGCACATTTCGACACGGTGCCAGTTGATTTTTTATCACAAGGCAAAAATTGTTCAACGAGCGGATAGACTTCACGAAAGCACTGAACACGAGCGTTGCTAGGATTCCATTTCTTAAATTGGGCGTGATCTGTAATACTTGGAAGTGTTAACAGCAAACAGAGATTGGAGTATTCTTCTTTTGATGGCGCTAATTTCTCTAGATCACTAAGTACTTTCACGACTTCGTCTACGATATTTTCTACATTATTGTAAGCTTTAATTTCAGATCTTATACATAACAGTTCTATATACTTGTGTCTAAGGATGGCATAGTTGAATTTGTCGGTTTCGAAAGCTTTCAGTGCACTTAGCGGTTGAATAAACTCGAGGACGTCGTCCCATTGCCCATCGAGGATGAGTTGTCTTAGAAACAGTACGTCGTCAGCGAAATTACCGTTGATCACACCAGTTTCACGCTCGAGCGATAACTGAGTTATATGCAGGTCGCGGTTGTGGAGAAACTCCAGGGACAAACGTACCACATCATCCTCACGTAGGTTTAGGTGGGTAGATGGCATCTTGACTCCTGTTGTTCTTTACCTATAACAAGAGACACACACAATGTAAAAATTTACGTTATTGTACATAAATATATTTTTAGTTAAAGGTAGAATCGCTTTGCTACATACAATTTTTTAATTATTTGGTTAGTGACTAATAATATCTACGCAAGTTTTCTTGACAAAGGCACGATTATGACTAAATTTAATAATACTATAAATTTACTTTTGGTAGAATGTATATTTGTACAACTATTACACAAACATTCAAGATACAATAGGATTTAAGATTATTATTGAAAAACAACTTTCATCCCCGTCATAAGTACATTCCGATGTACATGCAGACAACATCCCATGTAAAAACCAGTTTTAGAAATTTAATGATTATTAAAAGTTTGGGATTTTTTAGGAGCTAATGGAATTCTGTTAACCTACATCATCAGTTTATAAGTAAGGTTAAAAGAATAATATTTTGGCATCTGCTCCAGTATCAACTTATTTACTACTATATACGTAATAATTTTAGATTATTATTCATATTAATTAGTTACAATTTCTTAAATCTAATGTTAGTAGGAGCAAACATAACAATAACAAATGGACACAACTATTGGTATACTATAATTACATGAATATCAACCCCGTAAACCATCCGCTCTTCCGGTGCATGTTTATTTACCGTATGAAGAAATATCCAGCGCTTCAGCAGCGGAGTCCCAATGCTTTGAAAATACGCTCAGAATGCTGTTCGAATCAGCGCGGATGCAACAGTGAGGCACGCTTGCAAATGATAGCATTAAAACCACCTACTCTCGCTTCAGCAAACTAGAGGCACTGTAAAAACGCAAGCCCTTCAGCACTCCAAACGCTTTACTGTATCGTACACGCAGCTTGCTCTCTACGTATAGTTTACCCACAGGCTACGTCTGAAAAATGTTTCAGTCCGTCCAATGTGACGGACAGCGTTCTCAACGTCTCTTTCACCGCATAAGTCCTCTGTGATCCAGTGATATAAATAAATTTAGATACCCTATCCAAACTCGCAGTTTATTCGCCGAACAGTCAACACTAGACCCACACACTTTACCCACAGGCTACACGTCTGAAAAATGTTTCAGTCCGTCCAATGGGACGGACAGCGTTCTCAACGTCTCTTTCACCCCATAAGTCCTCTGTGATCCAGTGATATAAATAAATTTAGATACCCTATCCAAACTCGCAGTTTATTCGCCGAACAGTCAACACTAGACCCACACACTTTACCCACAGGCTACACGTCTGAAAAATGTTTCAGTCCGTCCAATGGGACGGACAGCGTTCTCAACGTCTCTTTCACCCCATAAGTCCTCTGTGATCCAGTGATATAAATAAATTTAGATACCCTATCCAAACTCGCAGTTTATTCGCCGAACAGTCAACACTAGACCCACACACTTTACCCACAGGCTACACGTCTGAAAAATGTTTCAGTCCGTCCAATGGGACGGACAGCGTTCTCAACGTCTCTTTCACCGCATAAGTCCTCTGTGATCCAGTGATATAAATAAATTTAGATACCCTATCCAAACTCGCAGTTTATTCGCCGAACAGTCAACACTTGGTTCTTAAGCTAAATCTGAACTATATTCAAAGCTTGAAGATGCCTCGTCCAGAGACGAAATGTGTCTGATGAATAAAGAAAGAAATGAATGAGTGGCGTAACAGTAGGTACCATATCATCCGCACAACTGACATTATATTTGCAAACCCTATCATTACCAAAAAAAAGAAAAAGAAAAATGGGGAAAAGTGTAATGTTAGTTAGTAAAGTGAACTGATGACCTCTTTGCTAGCAATGACCATGTCAGGTTTATCTCCATGCGGTTCCCCCTGAAAAACATCATGGTGAATTCCTGGTCAATTTCTCATGATGGGCTAAATGACCTGACCTCATGCTCATCTTATCATCCACCAGCGTAAACTGTTAGCGCAGACGAGTGCATTTCATTATCATCTATAAAAAAACACTCATTAATTTGATGATTCATATACAGATTCAAGAATGTGAGAGATTTTATCCCCCTACCTTACTCCACACTCCAACCCATAATTATAGATAAATTCATAGAGAATCAGTAAATTAAAATTCGCATCAGCAGTCACAATTAACAATATGGAAACTTAAAGTTTTTTTTATAATCTAGACACCTTATTGTCATCTCAATGCTGGACCAGATCAATCAATTTATTGGCTTGGTTCCAGTATATAATGAACAGTTACCTGGCTCTCTCCTACTATGTTCTATTCAAACTGGTGATATAATGGTCTTATCGCTTTTTAAAACTTGCAATGATGTATTTGTGTTTTGAATCTGAAATTATTTTTTATAACATCCTCAGGATGAAGAGAAGTTGTGACACATCATTTATACTCTATCATCAGATGTATATATAGACACTGTTCACAATATATGACCTTGCATCTTCATATCAACCAAGTCATCAAAGCCTAAGTAATTATTTGAGGTAAATAACATGACTAATTAACTAAACATTTCCATTCAGAAACAATTGAAGGACATCTAAAACATGGACCTATAACTATCTCTATGGTACTATTACTATTAGCACACCGCTTTACTATCCAATGGTTGTGGGTTCGATTCCTCACACGGTACAAAGATTTGTATTCATGAGTATGATTGTTTGTATCAATCTGGGTGTTTTCTATGTATAATAATAATAATAATAGCCCTTTTTTCCAAAAGCTGGGATACATTTGCTGTTTACAAAATGTCCCGCAACTCGCAAACTTTTTGTATCGGCCTCCTCCAGCTGAGCTCTGTCTTCCGCAACCCTGTTCCAGAACTGTCCCAGAGACAGGTTGATGTGATCTTTCCATCGTGTTCTTTGGCGACCCTGTCTTCTGGTCCCTAGGATACCAGAGAGTCACTTGCTTGCTCCATTTGTTTGTTTTGCACCTTAGCATATGCCCAATCCAGCTCCATTTTAAATGATCTATTCTACAGAATACATCTGTGACTTTTGTTCTCTGTCTGATGTCCTAGTTTGTGTGTATAATATGTACATATACACAAACATGTACATCTATGTATTTATATCAGTTGTACTAGACCTATAACACAAGCTCTGCTTAGTTTGGGACTAGATAGCGCTGTGTGAATTGTCCAGAGATATTATTATTATTATTATATTACAATCCATTGTTTTCTCCTATACTTTGTATTCATATAATTCCTATGCTGATTAATAAGGTAATCTTTAGCCAGCAAAAAATAAACAAACTAAAAGTCAACATTCATAAGTCATACTACATACATAAATGTCGGTTTTGCAAGATATAGAAATGTATGATTAGTGCTTACCTATGAATAACTTACCAAGCACACATATTAATGTTATACTAGCTGTACCTGCGACTTCATCCGCATAGAATTTAACTTTATATTTCTAAAATAAAAGTAAGCCTAAGTGAGTCCTTATTACATCAGCTACCTGGCAATAAAAGTCCTGTCAAAATCGTCCAGGCATTTCAGAGATTAGCCAGCACAAACAGACAGACAAAAATTGTAAATAATGTTAATTTGGCGTATGTACCGTATTTATATTTATATGCATGTAGTAAAAAACGGTTATTTTAATATTACAAACAGACACTCCAATTTTATTTATATATATATAGATATTTTCTCAGAAACAGCATTGACAATTTGTACAATGATAATTTTATATTTATATGTACTGTTTTATGTTACATTTGTATATACTGTTTTTTAGTAAGAGATTTGTAATCTTACTTCCTACTAATATTATAAATGCAAAAGATTGTAAGTATATATGTTTGTTACACTTTCATGCAGCAACTGCTGAATGGATTTCAATGAAACTTTGCAGTAATATAGCTTATACATCAGAATAACACATATATAGGCTATAAAATTGAGGGTGAAACTATGGGCACAGCTAGTGGTATATTCAAGACACTTTTCTCTTTAATATACCATTACTTACTTTACATTGATAAGAATTCTTGTCCATAGAGAAGCGATAAGTCTCATTGTCCCAGAGGACCTTCACTAAATGGCTTTGCTTGCTTTGAACTTATTACATGTGATGTGAAATGGGTTACACTAAATATTCATATTATAAGAGTGCTTCGAAGAACTGGACCAATCCTTCATGTTTCTCCAATAACTCTGTATGTGATTGTAAAATAAAACACCCATGTGAAGCCGGGGTATGTAGCTATGATGTTATAAATGTGAAATTTGAGTATCAGTCCTAGCAAAAGATCCTCAAATGCAGATTAAATAAGAAGATCAAATATTTCCTCTAGAGGAAACAAAATTTCATAGTTTTACATTATCCTGATGCATAATTGTGGAAAGTGTAAGTGGAAAAGGTTTGCTCTACATCCACTGAGGTAACTGGGCAGAATCTGAACTCGGGTGCTATGTTAGCACTTATAATTACTAGTAAAAGTTTGGCCGTCCCATTAATGAAACTATCAATTTGACACAAACTTTGAAAACCTGGGTTACTGTTCAATATGTCTTCAAACTTTTCTTTAAGTTTATGCAGCAATGCCTTTGGCAAAGCGAGTTTATTTGGAGTATGCATATAATCCTGTCTCTAATCTATACATATAAATAAAATTGAAGTGTCTGTTTGTAATATTGAAATAACCGTGTTTTACTACATGCATATGAATATAAATACAGTATATACACCAAAAAACCACTTATTAAATTTTTTTACGGTCTGTCGGTCTTTTTGTTCCAGCTAATCTCTGAAATGACTGGACCGATTTTAACGGGACTTTTTTTGCCAGGTAGCTGGTGTAACAAGGAGTAGCTTAGGCTACTTTTATTTTAGAAAAATGAAGTTAAATTCCATGCCAACGAAGTCGCAAGTGCAGCTAGTAATTACTATTATTTTAATGATATTACCAGAGAACTAACCTTATATGATATAATACTACATTAGTATAATTATAGTATACAATGTATCTTAATATTAATAGTTAACATTACCTTATGATTTACTACATAATAGCAATAAAATAATCACACCATCCAGGACACCAGCACTTATCATCACCTCAACTATGTCAATAACACCATGCAATCCTGATAGATTTTAAAAATTTCTCTTTTAACTGATACTAATTGGCCAACATATATTGAGACATACATAGATTGATTTACATTAAAATATTCACATGTAAACTTGTTTTAATGTAAAATAAATTAATAGAGCAGTAAGTAACAAGTATTATTTTCAATAATAAAATAAAACACTAAGACATGTCAATAACAACATTGAACATTATTATAAACTTTAATATTAATATGTAGATATATATTATTTATGAATAATGAATCTATTTTAAACCGATAAACATATGACTTTCACACGAAATATGTTTACGTGCATAATTTATGCTTCTAGTAGGGGAAAGCACGATGTTATGTACTTAGTGAAATTATTGGTGCATCTCTGACGCATCTCACATAGCGCACGGAGAAAATGTTCTGTTTTTAATTAAGTGCAATCTAGAATACTTTCGTAAAACTAATAATTTGGTAAATAAATACGACACACAGCCATTTTACTAAACTTACGCCTACACACGTTTTCATAGCCATATAAGCTCACTTGCCGACTGGTTCTGATACAATTACTCACAAATAAATTTAATAAAATTCAAAACCAGAATAGTCGTCGGAATTTTTTACAGTTAGAAAAATATTCACTTTAAAAAAGACGTAACGTAAATAATAAATATTATTTACCTTTTTGATTAAATGACCCTTTTATTCAGAACAACGTAGATGAATCCGGATTTAAACCTTACATTAAAACATTGTATAAAATACAGTAAGCGACGAATTTATTCAATTTAAATCACATTTTAATATTGAAGAAAGTGGATAAATCACAGTATTCAAAGATATACTTTAGAAACTACTCTAATTGTCTATGACTGCGTCGATGACTGTCACTGCAGTCTGAAGCAAGTTACGAAGTAAAGGTATAGATACATATATGTCAACAGAATAGATTTACTCATGAAACTTTTATAAGATAGTTACTGGTTTATTTACTAAAAAAGTGCACTTTCTTTCATTGCCGTGATCTAGATTGGAGTGTCGCGCCAGTTTCCTACTGACTAGAGTAGGAAACTGGCGCTACACTGCGCTGTATTACTATGTATATTTATTAATTATAGCCTTCGGTATTTATATATTATATTGGATACAGTTCTGTCAAAACTATCGTTTAAAGATGATAATATTGAATTTATTTTGTCCAGATAAAGTAAATTGTGTTTCTATATAAAAGCAAATAGTATGATTACTCTTTTTACAGCACAAAATTTCGGCTTCTATAAGTGTCCTTTTACTTTTTATTAAATATTTTCAGGGACACAAAGTAATACAAAACCGAATTATTGCAGTTCTTATTATAAATCCATGACAATAAATATTATAATTCAATTCTTACCACGCTACGCTCTTCCGCTCTTATGATACGTTAGTGTGTATAATCCTTTATGTAACATTTGTGTCCAGAGAGCGGAGTGAGAAATTTCTTTTGTGTTTGATCAACGAGGACAAATTAAAAAAAAATAACACTGCTAGTGGCGCCTCTATATCAGGTGGCGGTAAAAGAAATTTAACTATCATTGAAATTGAAATAATTTATATATTTTTTTAAATAATAATTTACTTAAAAATGGATGAGGAAGGAGAAAATATACTACTTGAAGAAAATTACTATCAGCTACTAAATGTCTCTAAAACGGTAAATATTACGTCAGACACTATTATTTCAAAATAATTCCGTATTTTTGAAATTACATAATTATATAACAATAAAAATATTTCGTAGTATAGTTGTACAGTTATATATGTAAATAAATTTGTTTATTCAAAACAGTACGTGGACTATTTATATTATATTTGCCTGTCATATGATGCCTAGTTGATTATTTTAGGTTAGGATGCATCGCTACTAAAACGCATGAATGCGTGCTGCAGTATTGTATAACATAATACTTTTATTATAAGTAATGGCATTAATTATTATAAGATAAAATGTCGTATAAGATTTTATTTTTTCTAAATTTAAAAATGCTGTATAGGGTGTCTAAAATGTTTGGTAAAGACAAGTAGTAAGTGTCCATACAGAAATGTGCAATTGCACTGAATAGTAATTATTTATTATTGAATCAGCCACTGGGGTAACTTATGGCCTGAGGCTAGTGGCAAATTCATAGAATGAGGTTCTCCCTATGTCTAAAAAAGCTTCACATTGTAATTTAGTACAATAATATCTAAATTATATAATAATTTTTGTACTCATAATCTCCCTATTCACTGGCCCCTTCCAGCTTCTACTGTGAGCCCATTGAATTCTTCGGCTCTGTCCTTATTGTTACACTTGTAAGAAAATAAATTAAAATCTGTATTGCATATTTTTTGTACTACAATTAATAGTCATACAATATCTTGATGTACCTACATTTCTATTATTATCTAAATCGGTGAATTCAATTTTATCTCATAATTAGTGAACCTAGTACAGTTTAATGGCTGTCTATTATAAATATATTATGTCATAAATATCATGCGGTGGCAATACTGAGCACCACCTAGCCTGATGAAGCTACATCTGATAAGAAAGGGCCAGATCAAACAACCAGACATTTGTTTATTGAATTGTAATATTTAAAACCTAATATTGTCAGGCAACTCCAGAGGAAATCAACAGTGCATATCGCAGGTTTTCACGCATGTTTCACCCTGATAAACACAGCACAGATCCTATCAAACAGAAATGGGCTGAACAGATATTCAACAAAGTAAAAGATGCCTATGAAGTGTTATCAGATTCACACAAGAGGGCCATTTATGATACACTAGGTATGTATGTTCAACACAACATACAATACTTTAAAATTACCTAATTTACTTGTTCTTAAACTTTTACGTTTGGTGTACATAATGAATATAGTTACATGGGTTTTAAAAGGAATATTTTGATGGTAAATAAATACCTATATTTCCTTTATTTTTTTTCGGACTACTCTAATGCTGTTGGCCACAGTTGGCCTTTATATCTTCACCGGACGTTAGGGGGAGAGTGCAGATGGCCCTCCAAATCCGTGGAAGGACTTATGGAGCGGCTGAAGGCCAACTCCTGCCTGACGGATATGACTTTAGTCTGAGGGCACCACTAGGGGTTCGAACATCGGCTCAGGCCGTCAGAATATTGATCTCTGTTTGAATTGGACGGGGGCTCGATCGGAGAGCCACCCGGGGGCGCCGGCTATATTTACCATAATTAATTCATATTAAATAAAGGTATATGAACCATAAAATTATTCCTGTTGAAACCCATTTAACTATACTATTAATTTGACCCAATTTAGATTTATGTTTCATATTCACATATTACTATTGTATAGTTATACATATATAAGTTATTATATAAATAATTAATACAGTGTCATTGTTTGCCTTAATCATCCATTATTAATGTTTATCTCAGACAGTTCAATAAAAATAATATTAGTTATGCAAAAATATGTCTTATAATTACCCTAGATAAATATTATAATACTTTTGAATATAAGAGCAGAAACACTTGTTAGCCATTTTTACTCCTTTCTTAGTATTAATTATCTGTAAATAAATGCCCCCATGGGCAGGGTCACATAGCTAGGTACAAAGACAAAAGGTGGACTCACCAACTAACAAAGTGGCTGGGACCGACAGGGAAAAGGCGAGTAGGTAGACAGCGAAAAAGATGGTCCGATGACATTAAAGATGTGGCCGGGGAATAGAGGACAATGGAACAAGCTGGAGGAGGCTTTTACCCACATGAGACCATATATATAAAGAAAATAAATTAGTCTTAACTTTAAAATATTAATTAAAATTGTATAAACCACCATATTGAAATCAGAAAGCATATTTTCATTTCATTACAGTCTATTAATCAATAAGTATATTGTTTAACATAATCATAACATTATGTATATTTTTTTATGTACATCTTTTAGGTAAACGTGGTTTAGAAGTAGATGGTTGGGAAGTAATTTTCAGAACTCGTACACCCAGAGAAATTAGGGAGGAATATGAACGGTATGTATTATATCTATTTTATTATATACCATGAAATACTGATGCAGAAAAACAAATCACATCTCTCTTTTACACTCTTTAATAGTATGAATCTTATATAAACATGTTAATAGCCATGCCAGTCATATGAGTCTGACGCTAAGAAGTTCTACATGAGTCCTGTCAGACATATATGACTGCCGTACGCGATTTGGTAGAAGGCCACGGCAATCACAGATGTCCGCAAACGATATATTTGCATTATGTTTCGAAAGCTTGGCCTATCAGGAACAAAACCTGAAAATTTCTTGGCTTACTACAAACAATAAATTGAAATAAATAAACGTCAGACATAAGATTGATAGGGCTTGTCGAAAAAAAAAATATAGCGCCATGTCAGTCATATATGTGTGACATAAAAAATAGAGTTTTTCCAGGAATTTTGACATATTTTTTTTTTATGACACATTAATGTGTGATATTAAATGACATACTGCGCCGACCCAAAATAATGGGATAAAGGCAAGGCAATGTTGATGATTATGATGACATTAAGTTTCCTTGATACATTTTTAACTAAATTATCTAATGAAGTTACCATGGCCCATGTGAAAATATTTCTGATATTATCGCGGCAATTAACGTGGTAAATAAAAAAAAATATATATTTTGTAAAGTAAAAGTGGTTTGAGAAATATATGAGATAAAGGTACCTTCATCTCATCTATTTCCGCAGCCAAATAATGCCTCCCTATTGCTGAACAATGATTCCTTAGTCCTTCAGAATGACAAAACATATCACATATCAGGAATGTGGAATGACAATATGGGTTTGTTCTTATATAGTACAATGCTCACAATTGGTATTAACCATCATGTGTACAGTTGGCTTGTTTACCATTAAAAATACAACAGACACAATCCTATTGTTATTACAAAAAATTTTATAGGCTCATGTAAAGAATAAGCCGAGTAGTGGAGATTGCACTGGTCCACAATTGTATTTTATTTATGTACAGTGTATAATAAAACCAAAATCTGCAGATTTTGACAAACTTTAGAGTAAACGCCACTACACATCCTATGTGGTTGTAGCCCACTTCATGCATAAACGTAATATCTCCTTTGGAAAGTTTACACTCTATCCTGAGGAGATAAAAACCATCGCTGCATATCTTTCAAAACTTTTACCTGATTGGGTCTAGGTAGCAAACTCTGAAAAAGGACGAGCACAATAGATTTATGTAGGTCGCAAAGCTACAGGTCCGAGGACCTGAAAATAACAAACCACTAAAAAAATATATAGTACTAAATGTATTATTTTTATCAAATTGCAGACTAAAGCGTGAGAGAGAAGAACGAAGGCTTCAACAAAGTGCCAATCCACGTGGAACAATCACTCTATCAATCAACGCAACTGATATGTTTATGAAGTATTACGATGAATATGAAATTCTGTAAGTGTTTTTTACTTTATGCTCAGTTATCCTCAAATTATCAAATTCAGATTGTTACTTTTAAACTTTCGTGTGTAATATATACATTTACTAGCTGTCCCGGCAAACGTTGTTTTGCAATATATATTAATAACGCTATAAAAAAATAGGGCTTGGTGATAGAAGGGTGAAAATTTAGGATTGTGTGTTGTATCATAAAAAATAGAAACTAAAAATTTTGCCTAAACAATAAAAAAATAAATTTAGGGGTGAACTACCCCTAACATTTAGGGTGATGAAAAATAGATGTTGGCCGATTCTCAGGAGTATGGGAACGAAAACTGACACGAGAATTTTATATCATATCATAATAAAATATATGCATATAATTACAGAGAAGACAGTGCAGTAATCCCTAGTATTGAAGTGTCGGGTATGACTATACAGCAATCAATAGATGCACCGGTCACATTGAGAAATACTATGACTTTATCAGGAAACATATCAACACAGAATGGAATTGGTAAGTGAAAAGATATCGACACAACATATTGAACTGCCAAAAATATACACGTATAAAAGAATATTAGGCGATTTTTATATAATACTGATTGTGTAAAAATAGCCTAAGATTAAACTATAATAATAATAATAATCTCAGAACAATTCACACAGCGCCATCTAGACCCAAGTTAAGCCAGCTAAAGCTTGTGTTATGGGTACTAGATAGCTGATACATATATACATAGATATTTTTTTGTAAATACATACATATTATACATAGAAAACACCCAGATCGATACAAACAATCATACTCATGAATACAAATGTTTGTGCTGTGCGAGGAATGGAACCCGCGACCATCGGTCGTAAAGCGGTGTGCTAGACCGCTAGACCACCTGACTGTGACTGATCTGCTCTGATAACTATGACTGATTTATATCGTTACTCACGTAACTATTTATTTATATTTGTCAATTTTTACATATTCACAATGCTATTCTGACCAACATTAAATAAAACAGCAACATGCAATTTATTGCTCATTCTTGTGATGAGTCAGCATTCCTAATGAGTGGTAGAATAAAAAAATATGATTATACAAAAATGCTTATATTAAGTTTATTTGAATAAAATTTATTTATTCTCTTTCATTAGTATAGTCTCAGTTCACAAGAATAGAATAGAATAGAAAATCATTTATTCAAATAAACTTATATTGAAGCACTTTTGAATAGTCATCACATTTTTTTTAATCTACCGCTCATTCGGAAAGCTGTCTCATCACAAGAAGAACGAGCAAGAAACTTGTGTGTTGCTCTTTTAAAAAATTTTATTCTTACATTACAATTTAAGTTAAAGTGTGTGAATACAAACTATCAATTAGCATTCATTCAATTAAATAATTAAATAGAAAATAGAAAAAATATTGTATATATAACCAACTGGTTAAACAATTAATAAGAGGAAATCAGTCATAGTGATTAGAGCAGACCAGTCCCTACAAGCAGCACCCGTTCACGAGTATGATGGATGAGCCAGACATTATATTATATTATATATTTTTTTAGGATTTTCAAGTGATTCGCTCTTGAAAATCTTAAAAAAATATCTCTGCCTGTTTGTTACTTTTTTACATTAAATAGCTGAACTAACTCCTAACAGAGAGATAGTACACTTCGAAATTTATATATTTTCATGCATGTTTTACGCACAGATTACATTTATAGGTAAAATAATATTAAAAATCATTACTACAATACACAATATTTATTGTGTGTTTAATTTCAAACTAATATACATTATTTGCTTTCTATAATATTAGTTCTGATGTATTCTTAAATATGTTTTTTTTCGGACTACTCTAGTGCTGTTGGCCGCAGCTGGCCTTTACAGCTTCACCGGACGATAGGGGGCGAGTGCAGATGGTACTCCAAACTAAAGGAAGGACTTATGGAGCGGCTGAAGGCCAACTCCCGCCTGACGGATACGACTTTAGTCTGAGGGAACCGCTACGGGTACTAATTTCGATGCCCGTTTGAATTGGACAAGAGGATCGATCGGAGGGGATTTAAATATATGCATGTTACTTACTTGTTTGTGTAATTGACAGGTACAGGAGCAGTGAATGTTTGTAACCGAAATCTAAGTTCAGAGAAAGGTTGGACTGAAGTTGAGTTTGGAATTGGCAATGGACCACTTGTAGGCTTCAAAATATTCCGGACGCTGTCAAGATTAATGTTTTTAAATTGTGGCACAGTCCTTCAGTTTACGCCTCGAGGGATATCGCCGAGCCTTATTTCAAGTAAGATATTTCTAATAGATTTTGCATAAATGCCAACATTTGATAGTTTATGTGCATAAAATTCTTTAAAACTTAATTCTTAGTTAAAGAGCAACATGTGACTTTTTTTCTGTCTTGTGAGGAGTCTTCATTCCGATTGAGTAGTAGAATAAAAAAAAAGAGTATTCAATCGTCCTTACATTAAGTTTTTTTTTTTAATGAAGATTATTTGATTTCGTAAAATCTGGTTGTACTTTTGATGATGTAGCTTTGTAAAAAATTATTAGGCACCAATGTGCCTAATAATTTTTTCTGCACTTTAAGAGATTTAAGAAGAAAAAGTATAATCCATCACATTTAAAATAAGTAGTAATGTTGCTAAGTAACAGTTTATATGTACGTGCAACTGATTGGAACGAGAATAAATTATATTTACTGCTGTATATGTGTAATCCACTGAATATCTCCATCAAAAAGTACTGGACTAGTGTCTTGTGAGCTTTCATGTTCTTATATCTTCACCTGTTACATGCGTGAGAATTACAGAATAAGGATGCACAACTTCTTAGTTCTCTATGTGATTATTTCTGATAAAAATAATAATAATCACAGGACAATTTACACAGCGCCATCTAGACCCAAGTTAAGCTAGCTAAAGCTTATGTTACGGGTACTAGATACACATTTAATATTATACATAGATACATTTTTTTTTCGTAAATACATACATATTAAACATAGAAAATACCCAGACCGATACAAACAATCATACTTTTGAATATGTTTGTGCCGTGCGAGGAATCGAACCCGCGACCATCGGAATTAAAGCGGTATGCTAAACCACTAGACCACCGAGGTCGTTCTGATGTATGTATTATAGCAAATATTATGTTGTTTTCAGCGATGGCGCTTCAACTAGACGCACACTCTGTAGGATATCTCACGTACCGAGCCGGGGGACAGAGCGGGTCCTCGATGACGTCGATATACGTCAGAGATTCAGAGAAATACCATACAAACACAGCCATACAAATCGGGAATCCACACTCGTTCATATCACTCAATATTATGAGGAAACTGCCGCAACACGATATGAAATTGCGTTTAGCTTTGAAGTAAGTGCGATTTTAAGATGAACTATTTTTATTTACTTCACTAATTGACCCGCAAAACTTCGTCTGCGTTTGATTTCCCCGCCTTTTGCAATATTTTCATTGCAACTCCGCTCCTATTGGTCGTAATGTTATATAGCTTAAAGCCTTCCTCGACAAATGGACTCCACACAAATAGAATTTTTCAATTCGATTCAGTAGTTCCTGAGAGCATCTTCCAACTAACTCTTCAGCTATATAAAATTAGTATAGATTTTATTCGGATGTCCATCCATATTATATTAGTAAAAAACTTTTGAACTATGTTAGTAAATTGCAATTTATATCCTATAAATTGATGTATATCTATGTCGAAGTTCAGAAGCACTGGGTCCGCAGCAGTGCAGTGATGTCCAGTGTCTCTGGAGCGGACAATCCGATATATTTTAGAGTTGCTTTTATGGTGCTTACGCTGGATCTTATTTATTAGTCCTGAAATATGTTGTGGATACTTCGTATGAAGCTTTGAAAGTAATATGCATGAATAAAAACTTACGATTTAAACAAATCAGCAACGCAGGTAGGTATAATGCCATTACACATACTATGTGGTTGTAGCCCACTCATGCATAAACGTAATATCTCCTTTGGAAAGTGTACACTCTAACCCTGAGAAGATAAAAACCATCGCTTCTAAGAATATCCTTCAATTCTTGTCCCTGACGGGTCTAGATAGGGAACTCTGAAAAAGGGCGAGCACATGTAGATCTATGTAGGTCGCAATGCTACAGGTTCAAGTACCTGACAATAGCCCAAACAACCCATTAAAAAAAAAGATATGTACATAGAGGACTACCCCGCTACAGCTGGTAATATAATTTAAAAATTCTACATTTACAGTTATCAATTTAGTCTCTGCGATTAAAAATAAGCCTATGGATGGATGCTTACGTACAGTAATACATTTTTATTTACATATAGTATTGTATTTCAGATTTGGCACGTTTGGTGCTATAGCTGAATATGGTGCAGAGAAAAAGGTATCACAAAACAGCAGCGTCTCCGCAGCAGTGATGCTGGGTGTACCGAGCGGAGTTATGCTCAAGCTCAAGTTAGTTTTATATCCAAATTTTATTATAGATAATGAAATGAAACGTGTGCACAATTTATTTCTAATAGGCACATGTAGTTATACACATTCCACCTTATATGAAGACAAGTATATTATATACTAGCAGATCCGGATGCGCGTTGCTGTGGTTAAGGTTCTTGAATAAAATAATATTGCAACTATAAATTGAGATGTAAGCATCCTATCTTTCAAGTTGGATCAAACTGCACACAATGTGCAAATCAAATTTGCAATCGGTTCAGTAGTTTAGGAGTCCTAGGCGCACAAACAACGTGACACGTTATTTTTGTATATAAATATTTATGAATGTGCTTCTTTAAATAGTGTCATAAATCTAAATAGCATATTACAATATATACTTTTTTTTAAACATGTTATATTATTATTTAGTTTTTATATGTCAATATTATTTTTGTTATTATAATAATAATAATCTCAGGACAATTCACACAGCGCCATCTAGACCCAAGTTAAGCCAGCTAAAGCTTGTGTTATGGGTACTAGACAACTGATACAAATACATAGATTTTTTTTCCTAAATACATTCATATTATACATAGAAAATACCCAGACCGATACAAACAATCATACTTAGGAATACAAGTGTTTGTACCGTCCGAGGAATCGAACCCGCGGCCATCGGACGTAAAGCGGTGTGCTAGACCGCTAGACCACCGAGGTCGTCCTTATACTAGTATAATCCAATTCTTAACTCATTTTAGCATTAATATTCTTAATTTACTTTATTGATTAAAAACATCTCTCAACTTATGTTATGCTATCTATTTCAAAATATTTCAAAAGATATTTCTCGAGTAATCAGATTACTCTATACAACGGCGAAACGGCCTGGCTAATGGTATACATATATCGGGCACTTATATTATAACGTTAGAAATTTCTAGGTACTTTTTATTAATAGAGCTATAATTTTTAATTGCCAAATTTAAATTCATTTTAACCGATTATGATGATTATTTAATGGGACTTAATAACATTCCTACAGATGGACCTGCTCGACCCAAACTATAGTGGTTCCAATACATTTATGTGAGGAAGTGATACCGTCTGCCGTTTTCTACGCAACCGTAGTGCCCGTAGTGTCGTGGCTGGTGCTGAAGAAACTCATCCTGGATCCTATAGCCCGTGAGAAGCAGGAGCGAGAACGGCAAAGGTCTATGGAGGCCAATCACGAAAGGTAAAAAAAATTCACCTAATTGTGTGTAAAAATTCGACGAATGAACATCCGACTATTGTTTGCCATCTTGTTTGAGTGAGGTAACCACTACAATATATTTTTATTTAATTAATATAATAAGCTTATAAACTTGTAGTAAATATATAAATAGTAAAGATTAAATCCAATTATAATTATGTTCTAGAAGTTTGATATAATCATGTTTATTATTGAGTACAAGATATAAGTTCTGATTTGACCATAACAGTCCCATCTACTACTAACTTTAAAAAGAACCACATATTGTGTGAGACCAGTTCGGTTTAGATGCTCGAAGTGAAAAATAGATTTAAGTGAAATAAGAAATTAACACTCTCCTTGCTGTTACTGTCCTGTAACAAATGTAATAGAAACCGAGCAGAGAGGTTATTTCTTTTTTTTTTTACTATTTATTTTATTAGTCAGGTACACTAACTGTAATTCCTACTGTTCAAGTTCCTTTATTATTTATTTATTTCGCATTATTTCGTTCAGTTCATTGTAGTTTTTAAAAAAGAAAGTACATTATTCACCCTCGAGGATATAGCTGAAAATGTGTGTTTTGCTCCTTGAGTGATTCTCCACACTGAGCTATGTACCAGTTTTGTGTTGCTGTAGCACACACATGCAGGTTTACCCTTATTTATTTGTTATACTGTTATGTAATGTTATAATTAAGGCTATATGTGTGTACTAAGGTACAAATAAACTATTATATATCTATTTATTTATACACACTTTTGAAATCAACACATTTGTTGTGGATATTATTCAGAGCATACTACTTGCCCCTGTGTGTTTGTGCTGATAAAAGTAATCCTCTCAGCCGGTAGTTGTTTCATTTTTGTTTATTATTAAGATTTGTTGTAATTTGTGGGTTGACATGTTTGGTAATAAAAATCCCAAAGTAGATTTAGATAATAATAAAAAAGGACTAGTTGGATCTGATCAGTAATGGTTGGAATTTTAACAATTTTAACATTTCTTAGATATTTACTACTGACTTACTGATAAGACATTTTAGTCTCTTATGAACGTCAAGTATGTTATATGAATATTTTTTAAAGCCAGTTATTGACTCAACTTTCTTTAAACTTGTTATATTGTTTGCACTATCCCACTTTATACGGGGTTTTTTTTTTATTTATATTAATAATAATATCTTAGAACAATTCACACAACCAAAAGCTTACGTTATGGGTACAAGACGATTTATATAATCATTCATTTTATTATAAATAAAGATTATGCTACTGTAAATACATATTAACATAATAATAATAATCTCAAAGCAATTCACACAGCGCTATCTAGACTTAAGTTATCTAGACTCTAGATAAAGCTTGTGTTATAAGTACTAGATAACGGATACGAATACGTAAATATATTGTTTTGTAAATACATGTATATTAATTATAATATACACCCAAATTGATACAAATAATCATATTTATGAATACAAATATTTGTGCCACGCGAGGAATCGAACCCGCTTCCATCGGAAGTAAGGCGGTGTGCTAAACCACTAGACTACCGACGCCGTCAATAATGTATAGTCATTTTGGAATAATGCACCTTACTATTTTTTTTTATATTTTTATTGGTATGCAAAACAAATAAAGAAGCATATAATCTTAAAAATACATTAAATAGATTACAGGAAATGCAGCGTGAGGCGAGAGCAACCGTAGAACTGATGAAGGAGACATACTCTAGAATTAAGAATGATGAAGAGAAGAAGAAGGGCTTAGTGATAATACGCGCGTTGTACGGGAAATTACCATCAGGTATTGTGTTCAAAATCTACCCTGTATCATCGTAAGCACAGATATTATATTATATTAGAGTCCGTTAGTTTTCTGTTCCCGCGCGTTCCCTTCCCCTCCCTAACTAGTAACAAACTGACTGTACGGCGGCCATGACGCGCGCGCGCATTGTGTTGTGAATTAAAATAAATTAGAACTGTGTTAAACCTACTGTGAGGCCTGCTGTGAAACTGGAAAGCTAGCGAAGATACCTTCGAGACCCTGAAGCCCAAGAAATCCGCAGAACCATAAAGATAAATGACTGACGCTTCCCTAACATTTTGGTAGCAGAGTAGTTTCCCAAACAGTGCCTTTGTTATTATTATAGCTTTTAATAAGATCAACTTAATAGAAATAGAAAGAAACTTCGTTCAAATAAACTTAATGTTTGCTCTGGTCAGGTGTTCCACAGAAATTTTATTTGCTGTTCAATGAATTTTGTATTTTAAAGACTATAAAATTAATTTATTATTCGAATAGAAGCGTGACATTAATATTTTAAATTATAAAAAAATACGCGACGAATCTGATTGTCGAATTGGAATGACAGAACGGTCACCCATCCATCCGCGCGTCCACGCCTCTTGCTCATTCGCAGGTTACCCGCGATTGGCCGATTAATTAAATTGATGCGTAGAATTACTATTTATTAGACATATTTTTTTCTTTTCTACTACTAATTCGACACGCACTCTCATCACAATTTATTTAAAATAACATTTGTTCAAAAGATCAATAGTCTAGTTTCTTGCTCGTTCTTCTTGTTGTCTACATTCTTCCTAGCATACATGATATTTTCATAAATGTATTGAGAAATTCCTTAAAGCATTCGGGTAAATACTCCCTGGAACCCATACTATAAATGGAGCGAATTGCCCTCTTTTGTAAAATAAATATTGTATTTATATCAGCTGCTTTGCCCCATAACAAAATACCATACGACATAATGCTATGGAAATAGCTAAAGTGGATATATTTAGTTATGTATCAAACCCATAAGCTGTTATCTGTTGACATGTAAGAAAATATTTCAATTATATAATGTTTTTAAATGTTTATATACAAGAAACGTTTTTAACAAATGTCACAGGTGCGTCAAGTCATGATATACCGGAGCCGACGGGAGACTCGATATCACCGGAGTCACCTTCACCCTACAGTGAAGTTATAGATGTCACAATACCACTACAGTGCTTAGTGAAAGACACGCGGTTGGAATTATTGGCGGCTTGTAAGGTCAGTTAGAAATTTATTATACAGCTTCACACTTCTATGACAGTCTTAGTTGTTTAGTGGTTTAGCACACCGCTTTACTATCTGATGGTTGTGGGTTCGATTTTTTGTACGGTACAGACATTTGTATTCATGAGTATGATTGTTTGTATTGGTATGGGTGTTTTTTATGTATAATATGTATTTATTTGTAAAAAAATGTATCCATGTATTTATATCAGTTGTCTAGTATTCATAATGGAAGCTCTGCTTAGTTTGGGACTAGATGGCGTTGTGTGAATTGTCTTGAGATATTATTATATCATATATATTATGTTATAATGAATTAGTGACTATTTTTAACGCGATTAGTTTATATATATATATATATATATATATATATATATATATATATATGTTGCGGACCATGAGTCGGCATCGAAAATATGTAAATAAATATTGTGTTTAAATTTGTATTTTTTCCGTGTTGGATTATTGTTTGGGTTAGACTATTGTTTGTACCGTATACCCTTTGTAGCGGCATAGATACTGTGAATTCTATGCCCGCCCATTGTGTAAATTCTTAGGGATCACAGCTTTAGTGTAGCCTGAACATGTGGCGTTTAGTCGCACGTGGTTTTTTGTAGTTTTTTGTGTTGTTACTATTGTATTTAATTTTAAATGTGTGCGTATTCGCTGTTCCGGCCCGTCGGTCACCGACATGTGCAGGAATTGTCGGGAGGGTGGGACGGCCGACGCGCACGGCTCGGCGGGGGTGGGGAAGGACGCGCTCGGGCGCCCGTAAAAGGCGGGTTGGTTCTCGATCGATTTAAGACCACTCCGATCGTTTTCCCCCTCCGATCGATCCCTCATCCAATTCAAACGGGGATCGAAATTACGACGACCTGAGCCGAGATTCGAACCCCTAGTGCCCTCAGACTAAAGTCGTATCCGTCAGGCAGGAGTTGGCCTTCAGCCGCTCCATAAGTCCTTCCCTTGGTTTGGAGTGCCATCTGCACTCGCCCCCCATCATCTGGTGAAACTGTAAAGACCAGCTGCGGCCAACAGCATTAGAGTAGTCCGAAACCCAGCCGGCCAACCCATAAGACAAGAAAAAAATTGAAATACAGTCCACATACTTTGAAAATCAAAGATCTTTTATTTTACGCACCCCATAATATATATATATATATATATACATAAACTTTCCTCTTCAATTACTATTTTACCGAAAACTACATTAAAATCTGTTACGTAATTAGATATAACTTTTTTTGATTGAAATGGTTTAGTTTTATACTATATAAATAAGTAATTAAAAAAAGTGTAATTATCAATAATGAAATTTATTACCCGTCATACTCGTGAACGTGTGTTACACTAGTCTGTTCGGGTTACAGACACTGATTGTACTATTTCAATAGCATAAGCTGGTGATCTTGGTATTCTTCTGAATCTGTATATTTATCATCATGTACAGAGTTATTTAAAAAAAAATATGATCTGAGTTGTGAACATCTTCCGGACTGCGATGATGATGATGGTGATGAAGAGATGAGTTTTTTGTCAGTTCTCAACTCGATATCATTCAAAACTGACGGTAGATTTGATATGTTTTGCAATGAAACTTTTTATAAAATTGAAGAGTTTGTACACGAAATAATGTTTTTGTAGAAAAAACTTAAAACTCATAGCACTGACAACATTATCTGATTGCACTAGGAATGAGTGTGTAACGGTTTCTATGTTGATTACCGCATATCTCTTACTTGTTATTGTGTAATTATTTATTAAAAAGAGAAACACACAAGTTCCTAGCTCATTTTTCTTGTGATGAGTCTGCGTTCCGAATGAGTGGTAGAATAAAAATATATAACTATACCAAAGTGCTAGTATTGAGTTTATTTGACTAAATATTATTTCTATTTATATTTCTTCCATGTTAGTGATTGATTACGTTTCTATATGTATATGTGTGATGTTTACAGTCGGAGTTACCTGGTTTCTTCGACCCGTGTGCTGGTGAAGACAAGCACCTGACAGTCCAATATTACTTCCACAACAACCTCCACTGCTGCACCGTCACCGACAAGCAAGCTCTAGTCCTGCCACGCAATAGTTAGTACATGTCTATACATATAAATAACATTGGAGTGTCTGTTTTTAATATTGAAATAACCGTTTTTTACTACATGCATATGAATATAAATACGGTACATAGACCAAAATATTTTTTTTTACAATTTTTATCTGTCTGTCTGTTTGTTCCGGCTAATCTCAGAAATGGCTGGACCGATTTTGACGGGACTTTTATTAGCAGGTAGCTGATGTAATAAGGAGTAACTTAGGCTACCTTTATTTTATAAAAATAAAGTTAAATTCCACGCGGACGTAGTCGTGGGAACAGCTGGTAGTAAATATATTTGTATGTAACTGGATTCGCAAACAAGTCGGCAGACCACCTGTTGGAAAGTTGCGAGCGTGGCGAGGCCGCGGCCGGGCGGTCGCGGGTTCATGATATGTGTGTTATTGCGACCAATAGAGTTCGTGTGTCCATCTGTTCGTTGTGTACACCTAACTGCCTAAACAAGCATGCAAAATTGAGGGTAATATTAAAAACATAATAATATATATGAATTAAAACGTCCGACTTATTATTTAGCTCATTTATTACTCTCTGTCAGAATGTCAAAAACAAATGAATATATTTTCTTTAGAAGAAAACACAAATACATTTTATTAATATTAAAAAAAGGTTTACATACGCATCACATAAGTAACAAACTACTCACATAATACACTACATCTTTCCCCTTAGGAAATATAAGATACATAGATACTAGTTACACAATGAGTAGGTAATTAAGATACGGTAGATTGTTAAGCATATGTTGCTACCTTAACCAACATATGCTTAACAAATATATGTAGTAGCTATATTTTAAAATAACATTAATAGTTAAAATTAATAAATATATTATTATTATTAATAATAATGTTAGACATAGTCACCTATATAAATATACATTGTAAATAAACTGGCTTTAAAAAAAAAGTAATTCAATTGAGTTTCTTGCCAGTTCTTCTCAATTGGATCCATATACAAAACTGGACGGTAGGGAAAAAAAAAATAAAATTAGAATGTAAAAATTTGCGTTCATAAGCGGCTAAAATGTCCTACATGAATAAATGATTTATGCTATGAGTGATAATGATAATATAATGAGTTATGTAAATTATATAATTAGTTAATAACTCAAGTAATTTTATAATATAATTATGTAAAATGTACATTGAATTTAATTAAATGATTTTTGTATTTGAATTTGAAGAGTTTACTCTCATTTATCTCTTGTAGGTATGGATATTAGTGGTGCTATGATTCTTGATATTCTTGTATTGTATAATACAGAAGCAACACATTGTACTATATTTACCGCATTTATATATCTGTATAGCTATATATGAGAGTTGTAGTTTGTAATCCTACCAGCAGCCCATATTTTCGGAATATTTTCTTTTGTCCAATCTTTATGATTGAAAATAAAAAAAAAACATATTCGGTGAAAAGTATATAGTAGTAAAAAGGAGAATTCATCCGACTGTGTTCTGTGTCAAAAAGTCGAAGATGTAAAGCACCTCTTGATGGAATGTGATAGGAATAAAGTAGAGAGGGAACTATTTATTAAAGTTTTTAAAATCAACAAATTTGATGTGGGTACTATTCAGAGCATACTACATGACCCTACTACGGATATTGCTCTGCGGTTGTGTGCGCTGATAAAAGCAACTTAATAAATAGATCCCTCGCAGTAGGCAATTATTTGATTGTCTATTATTTTTAAGAATTATTCCGATTAGTTTGTAATAATGGGGTTGACATGTCTGAAAAAAAAAACCCTAAATCTAGATTAAAAAAAAAAGGTTAACTACCGATCTTTGATCGTTATAGTATATTGATATTATTTCTCTTTCTTTCAGATCATCGAATAAAGAATAGATCCTGAAAATTTAAGTCGAAGCGCAAGTGTTTGTTCACTGCGCTAAGAAGGTAACACGCTACCGTAACACTGAGAAGGCATTTGTATATTTTATAATTTATATTAATTATACAATCAAACGTATGCTAAATGCGAAATCTGATATGTATATATACGCAAGTCCATCTATCCATTTGAAAGAATACAACGTCGTCTATTGGACAGAATACATACATTTATATCCAATTCGTTAATAATAGGAATAATATGAATTCAATAATAGAATCTGCTTCTTCCCTTATCCCATTTATGATCGATGTAATATGTTTTCCTCATCCATTCATCTCGTTATTTACTCCCTTTCTTGCCATATCATCTTTCATACAGTTCATACATCCTTTTGTCTGTAATGTCATCAATATTGAACATTTTGTATGTAATCCCTGAGGTCACAAACGTTTTTAGCTGACCTTCATCGTAATATTATAAATGGCAAGTTTTGTTAATATGTTTACCTCTCAAATTATACTTTAAAATTATAGATAAATAATAATAATATCTCAGGACAATTCACACAGCGCCATCTAGTCCCAAGCTAAGCAGAGCTTGTATTAGGTACTAGACAACTGATATAAATACATGGATACATTTTTTTGTAAATACATACATATTATACATAGAAAACACCCAGACCGATACAAACAATCATACTCATGGATACAAAAGTTTGTACCATGCGAGGAATCGAACCCACGAACATCGGATAGTAAAGCGTGTACTAAACCACTAGACCACCGAGGCTGTCAAATAAACACTAAAGTCTTCCTTACAGAGAGACTATGTCATATAAAATGTTTAGCATTTTTTATTATATGCTCATATCCATCCACATTCATATGTAACACCTTCATGAAGATATGATCTTCATTCCTATTCATTACGTGCCCATACCATGACAGACGATTTCTCTATAACGTCTCCAACACCGGCGCCACTAACTTGTGAGGAATTCCATCTTTATCTGGTCCATTCTTGTCACACCACACATCCATCTAAACGTTCGCATTTCAGTTGCTTTAGGGATACATAAAGGACCAGAATAAAAATAAAGTCGATTCACTTAGCCTATTATGACCAAATCGATCTTCGAAATAGATCTATCGTGGTTTGTTGCATGCAGTCGTCTTGCATTCGTCGCCTTTACGGGCCAGCACTCTGATCCATACAAATAGTCTTCCCTTAGTATCTTTAAATATATTTTTTATTATATACTAGCTGACTCCGCGGCTTCGTCCGCGTGGAATTTAACATTATTTTTCTAAAATAAAAGTAGCCTAAGTTATTCCTTATTACATCAGCTACATGCCAAAAAAAGTCGCGTCAAAATCGGTCCAGTCATTTCAGACATTAGCCGGAACAAACAGACAGACAAAAATTATAAAAAAAAATGTTATTTCGGTGTACGTACGGTATATATATTCATATGCATGTAGGTTATTCGAAAAACGGTTATTTCAATATTACAAACACACACTCCAATTTTATTTACATGTATAGATACATACAAAGATTTCTTATCAAGTTTAATTCTATAATGACAAGCTGTCATTGTTAATGGCGCCTTCTCAGTAGTCTAGTTCAGAAGTTTCCTAGTTAATGCCTTGATGTAATGTTTAATATTAAAAGTTTATTGATATGTATCAAAATCCAGAGCAGTGTTTGTATATCTGTATTTATATTAATCGGCAGGTTGTTGTAATGTAACATTCCATTGTATCGATGAACGATGTTGAATTCATTTATTCATAACTAGCAGAGCCCGCGGCCCTGCTTCCGCGTTAAATTTCAATAAGAAATACAGCCTGTGTTATTCTGATGCATAAGCTATATTACTGTAAAGTTGCATCAAAATCCGTTCAGTAGTTTTTGCGTGAAAGAGTAACAAACATTCATTGTTAGAAACTATCGCGTTTATTATTATTAAATCTTAAGAGACACGCTCTTGTCGGTGAAGCTCTTGCTAGAATGGATGTTGAATAGACAATTAAACATTTCCTTAACTTACTTGTTATTAGATGCCGGTTATGAGAATAGTGTTGCTATATTTCGGCGGTTGTTATCAATTCAGGGATGTTATGGATATGAAATGTCGGGTACGGATAGGTTTCGGATATAGAATGATTATTATACCGGATACGGATATGGATATCCGCATCCATATCCGTATCCGGTATATAATATATAATCAATCATGAAATTATTTCGGATTATCCGTTAGTTTCGGATAATTTCGGTTACAGATATTATTTTTTTAAAGAATTTCAAAAGTATAATAAAAGTAGCTAATAAATGGTTACATAACGTGTCTCAATTAGGCTCTGTCCCTATCCGTATATATACTTTTATTTCGGATTCGGTTACGGATACGGAGCTCCCTAACAACCCTGGTTATCATTTAGACTGAAATACACCTGTATTTTGTTAGTTTATGTTTTCTCCGGCAGGTTTTAGTTTAGTTATGTTGATCAAGTTAGGTCTCGTTGGGTCTGGAGGTTGAAGTGTGTCAAAACCTCAGAATACCATCAATTCATAGTGTATAAAGGTACAGGAGAAAACCTACACTACCACACAATTAATATAATATTTTCGTGTAGAAAGCGAAAGAAAGAAGAAAAAAAACAAGATTCTAAAACTAAATGCAAAAGGACATAAAGGTCTATGGAGAGTGTAATGTAAAAAAAAAGTTAGTTTTTACCAACCTTTCAACTGGCCGGTCACAAATACGAATTTCGGAAACAGCAGCTCTATTCTCATTTACTAGCTTCACTTAATCAGATAGACATGTAATAAGTTTTGTTGTAAAATGCTGTTATTATTAAACAATAATTTGACAAATTTTAGTAACAATATCAGTTTTATTGTTGGCATTACATAATTTGTTTTCTTGTTAACATAAAGAGAATATGTGAATGATTAATTTTACAATACTTATTTATTTTAAGAAAGAAGTTTCGGAACGTATGTATGTTTTGCTAAAAAAATCATGAATATTAAGATTATAAAAACTAAATTTAGACATAATGAGAATGTGAGCCTTTTTTGAGACGTCAAGAACAGTGTTGCCAACTTACACTTATTATGCTACTATGTACTAACTAAAAAGTTGTACAAAAATACAAACTTTATAAAAAAATCACTATTTGTATTATATCAATATATATTATATAGAAATATTGTATTTATAATGTCAAATTACGACGGAGGAATGGAGTAATAATACATTGCCTTGAAATAATAAATAATAATTGTTTAAATGTTGCAATATATTAGTTAAAATATTATAAATTATGTTATATATGTAGTTAGTTAAATACCGTTCTTAAATACGTTATCACAACATCACAATTTTAATATAATATTTTAATGATTGTTTACTTAAATTATTGGAATGTAAATTTTAAAGTTGTGTATCAAAATTGTAATATGTAAATAGGAATGAGTATGTTTTAAATTTAAATTAATGTATCTTAATATTGTGATCTAAATTTGTATTCTATAACTGATTATTAAATTGTTATTACATATTAAATTACACTACACCATCTATACTGTATGGATATATAAAAGGGTATGAATTGATTTTATTAAAAAAAAATGGACATCCCTACCTTTCCTCGCATTTTTAAAGCTAGTGGGGGAGGGGAAATCATAGTCATAATCACATTTCAAAATCGAATATGTTTATAACTATTAAGGAAGAAAATGATAGTCCTACTATGTAATAAAACTGCAAAATTTGTGATGACGTCACTAATTGTCACGTCACGTGGTTACGTCTCAAATGTGATTGGTTGTGTTCGTACATTGTACGTACGTACGTACGCGCCTTCCCTATTGTTACTAAAATAAAAGTAGCCTAAGTTACTCCTTATTACATCGGCTTCCTGCTTAATATAAAATAATAAAAGTCCTGTTGAAATCGGTCCAGCTTTTTCAGAGATTAGCCGGAACAGACAGACAGACAAAAATTATAAAAAATGTTATTTTGGTGTATGTACCGTATTTATATTAATATGCATGTAGTAAAAAACAGTTATTTCAATATTACAAACAGACACTCCAATTTTATTTATATTGAAATGATTACAGCATTAGTGACGTCACGTCACATGTTTGCATTTGATATATGATTGGATGTCGTACATTGTACGTATGTACCTACACTCCTCCCCTCAGACATTCAACTAAAACATTAAAAAAAAACTTAAAAACAGGTGAAAAAAAAAATGGAGAGACAGTAGAAATGGAGTGGAGAGTTATTGTATGAAGAATTATGATTTATTATTTGTTAATGTTTATTTTAGAAGAGCTTACGAACCGTGAATGAGTGATGGACGAGCAATTCCTTCTAAGGAACACAAGGCATATGGTCCGTGCTCACTTGTTATACGTTATAAACACGTATCTGGATTTTGTTACAAGTGATCCTCACTGTGGGTCACCGTCACAAATGGATTTCCATCCTGTTACGTTTGAACGGTCCACATGGATGTCAACAATGGTACAAAGTTATTTCGTTGAAGTTGATGCTAAAAGATATATACTGTTGTTATAATTAGATGTAATTAAAAATATTAGATCGGGCTTTTATATCAATGAATTCATATATATACAGTTATATATGTATCTACCAAATAAAGTATAAACTTGTTGATTTGCTTTATTTCGCTTTTATAAATATATAAACCCTTCCCAGATATGTAATCCTTACGTCCTTAGTAATATTATAAATGCTAAGTAACTCTGTCTGTCTGACGCGCCTTCACGTCAAAACAATTGAACCGATTTAAATTCAATTTGGAACACAGATAGTCTAGATCTGAGAAAGGACAGTGGCTACTTTTTATATACGAAATAAAAGGGTTGAAAGGGGGAGGAAAATTCTATGAAAGTATTGTTATTGTTAAGGCTAGAAACTTATGTTATATTCTGGGTAAGCGCGCTACATCCTAGATCTTGCCATCATTTACCATCAGATGAGGTAACACCAAGCGCAAACCCATTATAAATATAAAAAAAAGAACTTAATAACTATTTTCCAAGCTGTTGATTAAATATTTAAATTCAAATTTTGTGAAAATGTTACCCTAACAGCTAAAATAAAATAGGGGATGGAAATTTTCTCTGTCTTTTTTGGGTTAGATTATTGAATTTGTTTTTGGTCAATGACACTATTAGTTGCGGACGCAGTCTATTGCAGACGCATATAAATACTAAAACCATAGACAATTCATGTCATTTAGTCACTAGCTAAACTTGAGTTACGGATACTAACAATTGACAGAAATACATATATACGTATACAAGCAATCATAATGAGGTACAAATGTTTACACCGAGCGAGGAATCGAACCCGCGTCCATTGGTAGGAAAGTTGTATACTTAACTGCTACACCGCCGAGACAGTACAGATGACTGTACATTCATTTAAAAAAAATAGAGCTGACGGATGGGTTGTGGACTGTATATATATATTGTGGACATATTGCTTACAATGTATTATACCATATCGCGGTTGACCTCTACGCGGTCCCCTCTGGAAGCTATCTGATAAAATTTCTGGTGAATTTGTCACAATGTGCTAGCTGGCCTGACCTCATGTTCATTTTGTCCTCTAATGCCCCGCCGCGCCAGCGTAAACCGTTAGCGCAGGCGACACCATCATTTTACAATCCTACTAAAAGAATTGTGCTTAGATGTTTCCATTATTATACCACTTATATCACATACGGAAGCCAGATCCAACATTTGGCAGACAGGGAAACTCGCAGCAGTTACCAGAACTTGTGACCCGGGTGGGCTTCTTTAACATGCACCGCTCGTGTTTCTCTCCCCGCCCAGACACGTAGATCAGTTCCGGAGACAAGTAAATTTCCACCGTAAAGAGACAAATTATATTTAATATTGTACCAATTTTTTTTCTTTAATATAAATCAAATTCTGTTAACATAATAATTCATTGCATTACGTAGTTATATATTATTTTCTATTTAGTTTAATTTTTATTATATAACCTTATCTAGCGTATATTGAATGCGTCTATATAATTTAGCTTTTAGGCATACATAGTGTTGGATTACAATCCAGTTTTATACCGAACTACACGCTCCTAGTTATATTATTATATTGATTATAATCTGTTTTGTTTGCTAATAAATAAATAAACATATCTGAGACTGCAAGTGTATATTTAAATACACGTTGTGGAATACAGACCACTTATTTAATTTAGTCTATGATCTATTTTATAAGCTCTAGTGCTATCTATTGAGCTCCCTAAAATTTGGTCGAGCGCAGTGATGGCTGGCTCATCCGTCATACTCGTGAACGAGTGCTGCTTGTAGGGACTGGTCTGCTCTTATGACTACGACTGATTTAATTATTGTGTTTTTATATTTGAGCCTAAATAAATTAGTGCTGGTTGGTAGTTTGTATTCACACGTTTCGACTTGTAAAATGTCAACTTACAAGGATTGTTTGTTTTGTTAGCACTTAAAAAGTACATTAAATTCTATTCCAAATAGTCATTGCTTTCTATTGTTCCCTTTCAGTTTCCCTTCCTGGCCCTAGTTATTAGACTAGCTCATATACCAAGAATACCGATGATCCCAACTGATCTGCCATTTAAACGGCTTCAATTTCCGGTTAAAATATCTTCTATGTAATTGACCTATGTAAATTTGATTTAAAAAAATTAAGCGGATTTTGTTGCATTTTTGTTTAAAAGACAGAATAGATAGTGACTCAAGAGGAAGGTTTAGGATAATAACGTCCCACTACTGTACACGGATCTTTAAACGCACGATAATCTGTATATTTCATATCCACGCGGGCGTAGCCGCGGCCACATAGCTGGTACACTATATATATATATATATAGGTAAATATATCCTACAATTTCCTTTATCATCCACACACGTTCTAGTATACGAGTAGAAGTTACTGCAGTTCTGTACAGGTCTGATGTTTTACGTCTCTCGTTTCCAGTTCAGCCGCATATAAATGAACCACATATTAATTTTTCATTAATTCGAAATATTATTTGTTATTATTGCTTAAAATCTGTTAACTGTAGGTACTTTACAGTGGAGCTAATAGCTTCTCAATTATAAAATTTGTTTGAAATCCGTTCAGTCATTATTTGGTACGTGTTGACCAGCAAACATACTAATTTTAAGAATGACTGGTCGTGTCCCTCCTCCCATTGTATTGATTGTGTTGACCGTACGATGATGCTGTACGTTGTCGGCTTGTTTTTGTTGGTTTTTGCTGGAAATTCGAATTCATAAGCAAACCATTGTGTTTTTCCACAATTGTACAAACTAGTGTCAGCCTGCGACGGCATCTGCCTGATTGATTTAAATATCAATTACATTCTTATAAAGATTGAGTGCGTTTCGGTTTCTGTGCTGATTATCACATGCTTAATCCTTGTTAATGTGTATTTAGAGACATTAACAAGGATTGAGCATGCGACGAACTACGAACTAGAGAAGAACTTTGGTTTAAAAGAACAAGAGCAACATGCATCTTGACGTCTTGTGATGAGACTGCGTTTCGAATGAGTGGTAGAGTGAAAAAAAATTCTTCAAAAGGGCTTATATTCAAATTCAAAAATCATTTATTCATGTAGGACATTTTAGCCGCTTATGAACGTCAAGTTTTTACATTATAATTTGTTTTTTCCACCGTCCAGTTCGGTATATAGATCCAATTGAGAAGAACTGGCAAGAAACTCAATTGAATTACTTTTTTTTTTAATCCAGTTTATTTACAATGCATAGGTATTTATATAGGTGTCTATGTCTAACATTAAATGAAAATCCCGAACATGAAAAGTAATCTACGAATAATAATATTCCATAAGAGAGTAAACTATGAAAATAACTAAAATATATTAGGTATATAGGTATGAATAAAGATCTATTTATATAATTTTTTCTATTCTCAATGCTACGTCAACCAAATTTCATTACCATTGGTTATACTGTTACAACTCGAGAAAGTAACAATGAACTAAATTCATAAGTTTTGTATAGACATAAGTGCGATGGTGAACGAAATGGTAAGTACACTATAAATAATATTACGGCGCGCTGTACGTTGAAAACAAAAATGTGTAATTGTGTGTGTTTGTTTGTTCTGTAGTGTGTTTTATTTCTTTAGCAGTAGACAGTACAGAGATCATTGCTAAAGGAAGTATTAGTATGTATTTTATAAATTTTAATCTTAATGATATTATAAACGCGAAAGTTTGTAAGTATGGATGTTTGTTACTCTTTCACGTTAAATCTACTGAACGGATTTTGATGAAACTTTACTTTATAGCTTATGCACCAGAATAACACATACTAGGCTATATTTTTTGTAGAAATTTATAGTCCGAAACCGCGGGCACAGCTAGTAAATGAATATAAGTATGTATATTATTCCTATAACGAGATGACTGTGAACTGGGATGAATGGAAGAGACAATCATATTACCCCGACCACAGCTGACGGTGGTACGCGTTCAAGAAGAGAGGATGCTGCTGAAGAAGGAGCGCTGCCCGGCACCGAAGCCGTGATTGTTTCGGCCGCTGCCCAAAGAAATAATTTGTAGGGGTCGGCCAGTATACCCGAGAGGTTGGAATGGCCATGGGTTGGTGGAGGGTTGTACCCCGACCACAAATAAATGGGATAGGGAACAAGCAGCTGATGAATATAACTATATTATTTTTAACTGACTATTTCCTCTACGGCTATCAAAGCTAATTTCTTTTGCATTAGATGAGTTACACGGCCGTTTCGCTCGATAATATATCTCTATTGTATGTACACTACGCTTTTGTATTATAGAACAATGAGCAATTAATACAGATTTGGCGTTTAGCGGCTGTATGTATGCGTTTCGAACCTACGTTCCAATAGTCAAGAACATAATAGGGGATTCTAACTAACTATAACACTTTATTGACAATTAAGTGCTTCTTAAGAGGAAAAATCAGTGAGTTTTTGTGTAGGTGATTGGGTCATTGGGCACCATAAAAGATGATCGAGCGCAGTGATGGCTGGTTCATCCGTTGAACCAGTGCTGCTTGTAGGGACTGGTGTGCTCTAATCACTGCTATTGATTTACTCCTATTTAGTTTATTTATATTATTAACCGGGTCTTAACACAAACTAATTTTATGGCAAATAAAGGTATTTACCTCTCTCGACGTTTCGACTAGGTTGCACTAGATGTGGTCATGAGCTGATTGGAGTAATATCGATGTCAATGTAGACAGGTGACAGCAGTTTTTTCATCTACCGTCACTAGATTATTCAAGGAAAGTTCGCGACATATAGCAACTACGGTATCCGTACACTTATTGACTGTTGATGCTACTGAACTTCCCTTGAATTTGTTCTTAGCTGGGTTCCACGCAGATGATCTTATTTAGTTACTCAACCAGTTGTGTATTTATTATTTCGACTCTAATGAATCAGTGATAGTTGGTAGTTTGTATTCACGCATTTCAACTTAATAATGTAAAACTACAACTGAAATATTTCAAAGAGAAACAACCAAGTTTCTTACTAGTACTTCTTCTGATGCGACAGCAATACGGATCTACCGCTCGTAGATTACAAAAAATAGTGATGACTGTTT